CAAATTTAATAGATAATACACGTATAGTATCTGTCATTAACTAATAAATGGTTTGTACATCACAAAAAGGGAATATATAATATACAAAATTATAAAATCAAAACGTAACCTTTATCACTAATAAACGAATTCAAAAAATCATTGATTTAAACGTATAAAAATAATTGGTAAGAAATAAGTTGAAAATTTTAATTGTCTCAAGGAAAAATAAAAAATAATGCAAAATTTTAGATAATTTTTAAGGGATGACCCACCGGTCCCACCACCGGTTCACCTATCCGACCAATAATCCGATGATCCAATACCTTGATCGAATCAATGTCCAAGTTGAGTCTAATAACTATGCTATTAGTTCTAAGAAATGGCTCCAAAAAAATATGAGGAAAAAAAAATGTACACCTATTGAGAAAGAAGAAATAATGTAGGCCTATCTTCAAAGCCCAACTATATTTGCACAAATGAATTTACAAAGTGAAAATTACACTTAACCCTTCTTTAAAAATCCTAATTCTAAAATCAGATGGAATGTTTCAATTTTCACAAATCAGATTTTTCATATTTATATATTAAATATACAATTTTCTTCCCAAACCAAAACCCCAATTAATTTCACCCTCTTTTCTCTCTATATACATCTCACGCTCACTACCCTCTCTCTTCCTCCTCTCTCTCTCCCCATCCAAAATCGCAGCCGCCGAGAAGGTCACCGCTTCCTCAAAAAACCTCAAACCCTTTCCCACGTCAGCACCACATGCATCTACGTCTGGCCACCACTGCAGCAACGATTAATTTATGGTTGTCGTCCCTGCAGCCACGAAGTTGCGATCTGAGCAATGTCGTTGCTACAACAACGATCGATGTGCTCCACTGAGAGTCATTTGCAGCCACAATTTTGTTGATATGGACAGTGGTGACGGCGGCTGCAAGTGGTGCGATCTGGTTTTGGTGGCGGTGCAGTGGTGGGTTGCAGTGGCAGTGTTACAGGTGACCTGTAATTTTTGTTGGTGGTAGGCTATCTGGTTGTGGTGGTAGGGATGATTTTCCCAATTTATAGGCAATCTGGTTATGGTGGTGGGGATGATTTTATTTGTGGTAGGCGACTTTAAGTTTTAGGTGATGGTTTGGTTGGTGTTTGGGTGACTACTGTGGGTTTGCGAGGTTTGGTGGTGGTAATAGTGATGGTGGTTGTCGTGACGATTGTGGTGGTCGTGGCAGTGCTCGGGAGTTGAATGAGATGGGGTTTGAGGTGGTGGTGGCAACGGAGATTTGACGGTGAGGTGGTGCTAACTTGCAGGCATGTGAGGTAGTGCTTTTTTTTTTTTTTAATGGTGGTGTTGCGGTGCAGGTAATGGTTTGGTGGTTATGGTGGTGCAATGCGGTGCGGGTGTTAGTTGTTTGAATCGGTGTGATTCGTGACCAAATGTGACCGTATAATGGACTACATGTGACCTTAAAATTCGACAATTTGTGACTAAAAATTAATTCGTGACCAATAAATTTGAAAATATGTGACTGATAGATAACTGTGACCTGTAATTGTTTTTATTTATGACCAATAAAATAATATGTGGCTTATAAAATTATTGATTTGTAATCTCGAAATAATCCGTGACCTGTAAAGTTTTTGATCTGTGACCGATAAACAAATTGTGATCTATAAATTTTTTGAACTGTAACCTCGAAATAATCTGTGACGTATAAAATTTTTAATTTGTGATCTCGAAATAATTCGTGAACTATAAAAAATTTTATTTGTGATCTCAAAAATAATTTGTGATCATATTATATAAATCTGTGATGGTCACCAGAATAATTGTCGGAATCGAAGTAGTCG